GAGCTCGTTTTCCCCACTGTCTGCCTCCCACTCCAAACCCAAGCTCTGTGAATCAAGAAATACCCCTGCCTTATTCGGCGCCACTGCCCTCATGCCAAGCATAGCACCTGGCAGGGAGAGAGATGGCATCAGTGTTTGAATTGGTGCCCACAAAAGACTCACCCTAAGACCTGATCCTGTCCGCTTTTCAAATGCAGCAAACATATTTCAAAACATCTCACTGTACTCCATAAATACAAAATTATTTGCCAATTACAGATAAAATGGTTGGGGGGGGGGATAACGCAGTGGTTAATTAAAGATTTATTTATGTGTAAGGCCGAGTAAGAGAGATCCTCCGCCCCCTCTTCAACTGGCTGCAACAGCCAGGAGCCGTGAACTTCACCTTGGTCTCCCGCCCAAGCAGCAGGGACGTGAGCCCTCAGGCCATCGTCTCCCAGGCACTTCAGCAGAAAGACTGGAAGAAAAGCCAGCATTCCGATAAGGACAGGACGCCAGAAGCATCAGGCGGTGGCCCAACCCATTGCGCCACAAGGCAAGCCTCAGTCCTCCTTTTACATGAATTTCCTCAAAAAAGAGGGAAACAAGCACATCATTTGTCCTTGAAACTGTTTTCCATGTCAGAAAAAGTGAGGCTATTTAACTTGCTCCATCTGGAGAAGACAGACAGCAGGTTACAGCCCTCACTCGTGCCCACCCACCTCCCGCACAGGTGACCGCTGTTACTGGCTCCCTGCTTAACCTTCCACACACGTTTCCTGTAAATAAGGAACGTCCCTCACACACACAGAAACGGCAGGATACAATGTACATTTTCCACATGTTACTTCTGTGACTTAACAAGGCATTTTGGAGATCCTGGTATCAGGTCATAAAGGGTTTCCTCACACCTTTCTACATCTGGGCACACAGCACTTCCGCTGAGCCTCCTGCAGCTGGCAGACAAACCAGGCAAGGAGCGCTCCTGCACCTGGTTCACCTCACACACGTGCAAATGCATCTGCAGGTTAAATTCCTGGAACTGGTGCTGCCAGGTCATGAGGGAAGGGGAGAAAGACAAACAGATGTCCATTTTCTATCCACTGATTCATTCAAAAATGGCTGCAATGGCCAGGTCTAGGCCAGGCAGAAGCCAGGAGCTTCATCCGGGTCGCCCACACCAGAGTAGAGGCCCAAGCACTCGGGCCATCCTCCACTGCTTTCCCAGGCACGTGGGCAGGGAGCGGGACGGGAAGCGGAGCAGCCAGGACTGCAATGAACACATACGGGATATGACATATGGTGCCACAGGCAGCAGTTTAACTCTCTACACCACAATACCAGTCTCAGATTTTTTTTTTCCTTTTTGAGAGAGAGTGGCCCGTGAACTCCAATCTACGGCTTCACTCCCCAAAATTCTATCATAGCCAGAACTACAGATGTTAGAGCCAAGAACAAAACTCAGGCCTCCCTTGCGTGTAGCTGAGACCCCCAACTGCTTCAGCCACAGTCACCTGCTCCCTTCCAGGGCGTGCACTAGTGGGAAGCTGGGATTGGAGAGCCGAGCATGCTCACACAAGGCGCAAGCATCTCAAGCGGCGTAATACAGGCCCAAAGCCACTATCAGGGTCTACTCAAAGTCAGTCATCCCCTTAGGATCTCAAAGACAGGGGCTGTGGAGAACTGGCTACACTCGTGATGGAACACAGAATCCCAGCAGGAAATGGTCAGACAACCCAGAGACGAGCAAGAGCAAGGCCTTCCCACCACTGGACTGGAAGGTAAAGAAAGGGGGATACTTCCAAAACCGAGGGTCCAGGCCTACATCGGGGCAGCTGGAACAACAGGGAAGGGATGGCGGAGCTGGAGCCCAGAGACACTCAGACAGAACCTAGCTCCCGCTTTTCTCTTGCCATCCAGTCGCCCACCCAGGGGCTTCCACTGACTGACCACGGGCCTGGGAAATGCCTGCAGGGCTGAGTCTCTCAGCAGGCAGGGCAGGATGTGGAAGGCAGCCAACAGGACACAGGGTGCACCAAGCCACCTCCTCCCAGAGCGCTGAGATCAGCTCACACCACCACCAGCAAACGTGGGGACAGTCAGCTTTCAGGTTTGGGGACCGCTACTCAGCTGACAGGGCTGGTCTTAGTTTATATTCAGACTGGGCGTCCTGCCACCTGAGTACAGGCTAACCTTCAGCTAAACTGATGGGAGACAGGACGTGGGAAGGACGAAACCAATGGCGGTGAATTCACCTCACCTGCCACGGACGGCCCACTCAGGGCCAGCCATCAGACAGGGGGAGCGGCCAAATGGGCCAGGCAGCTTCGGAGGGGAGACAGCTCAAAAACCGTTCTAGAAAACGGTTGGCAGCCAAGGCCCAAAGGAATTAAAAATACCTTAACTACATTCTGCACACATTGGGAGGAACAATGAGTTCTTGTAATCTCGCACCCCCACTCACTCTGGTGGCTGTAGCTGCCTTCCAGCCATTCAAATCACCTTATCTCACACTGAAGGAACAAACAGAACTACACCCCCCTCCAAAAAAAACACACAAAGCCGTAAAGGCAGTGGCAGGCAAGAAGGAATTATTTTTAAAGCCTTCTTGACCAACATGTTAACAACAGCAACAACAAAAATCTAGCCATTATGATTGTCTCTGCTGTACCCACCGTGCGAACGGACGCGTCATCTCGGACAGCCCGAAACCCTCGTGTGCTTTAAAGTTAGGTACACCCACAGATACACCCCAAAGTGTGGTGCTTTACAACCTGATGGCAAGCCATTTCAAAGGCCGTAACGTTAAGTCTGAAACCTCCAGCAATGCAGAATTAAACATGAACAAATGTGGTTCACTCAATAACCGCCACACGACCACTCCTTTCCAAATCCCCAAAGACGGCCACTTGAGTCAAAAAGAAAATAGCTTCCTTTAGAGGCCTTCCACAATGCAAGGAAGAATGATTTTAATAAATCAAGTGAATAAAGGCTGAAAATTGTTTTCCACCAGCCACTAAGCTGCCTGCACGTTAGCAGACAATCGATCGCTCGCTGCTCACAGGTGAACGTTCCGGCGAATGAATGAAATGACGCTATTCCTTGAAACGTTCCCTGCCTAGAAGCTGCTCTTTGCAAATCCGAAACTCAGACACTCTTCCCAGACACCTGGGAAATACATAGACTAAGGGAATAAAGCACTGGCAACGTCAGCAGCTCTACCCCTCTCAGAGTATGACATCTGTAACACGGCTGCCCATGTGCAGTGTCACCGCACCAGCCCCTTCTGGGCAAGGCCGCGGGCGGGGTCCCGGGGCCAGCGCCACGGCACACGACCCCTCGGCTCTCAGTAATTACCCCAAGGTGTTCGGCCTGTACTCCCAAAGGAAACGCTAACAGCCCAATCTGAGGACTTGGGATGTTAATTTCACCTTTTGCTGTAACAGTCCCAGTCCTCAAGTTCTCCAATTACTAGAAGACTTGTTCCCCGTACTTTTTCCCCCATCAACTTTCACCTCTATCAGGATCTTTCCACATTTCTTCACTCAGAGCCAGAAGCATCGCCATCTCGACCCGAATGCCCGATGTGTCAAGCCTGTGGCTGCTGGTCAGCGCTCTAAACAAAGAGAAGCGCCAGCCGGCCTGTGCCAGGCAGGCAGCACGCCCGGCACCCACAGGGAACCCAGCACTCGGGATCTGGAGTGTCCAGACGGGCAGCCGGGCCGTAGGAGGGCTTGCAACTGGGCTGCCTTCTCGCACAGCACTCGCTTTCACAAACAGCACACCCACTCGGGCCACGGCGCTCGCCACCCCTCGCTCCCACGGCGAGAACTCCAACTCGCCAAATGCCACGCCGGGTGCCAACTCCCCACGGCTTCCTTCCCTGGCCAAGCACCTCCCTCGGAGGAGCCGCACTTGGCATTCTAGAAGGCACCTTGATGAACCACTTCATCCTGACGCCTTCAATCCTGCTGATTCCTACAGGCAGCTGCTCCGGCAGCCTGTAATTAAGATTTTTCTCCACGCGCTCCCTTATTAACATGGGGTTCTGACAATTCCGGCTGTCAGCAAAAAAAAAAAAAAAAAAAAAAAAATGCAGATCGTTAGCAAGAAGTATACAGAGCCTCAACTTCGCCCGGCCCTGTTTCAAAAAATCAACAATACCGGTGTTAACCCTCTGCTTTCTGCGTTACTGACCCCGCTCCAGCCGCAGACCGGAGCACGCCGCACTCCACTGAGAAAACCAAAGTCACAGAGGCCGCGCACGGTGGGGCACGCTCCTCAAGCTCATTCACAACAGCCAGGAGGGCGCTGGGGGTCCAGCGCAGACCACCGGAGCCACGCCGGGGCGGGGGTCCCCACCTCACTCCGCTGTCCCCTCCGCTGCTGCCGACTCAGCTGCACCAACCGGGTGGTGATGGGTCTTTTTTCCTACTTGCTCTAACATTTGGTCTTTTTATAAAACGCGTGCCCAGACCTGGACTCCAGCTGCCCTGTCCCTCACTTCTGAAGCTCCCCTCCCCTCCGCCCCTTGACGCTTCCGATCCCCAAGCCAAGAAACGGGTCCCCTGACTCGCACAGCCTTTCCTCCCCTGGCAACCCCTTTGGAAGGGGACCCCCCATTCCAAACTTTCCCCTCCCTACAACCGCACAGGTTCCGATCTCAGAAACGCAGCTGCTTTCCGGGGATGGTGGCGACGGACACCGCTGCGCTGGGGAGGGCGTGGACGCCCTTGGCCGCCACCAGCCAAGGAAGGTCGCCCCCCGCGACACGCGTGCCCCAACACCACACGCACACACGGGCGCGCAGAGGGCGCGACCCCGCACCCGGACACCGCGCGCCGCCCCGGGCCCCGGCGCGGCTGCCAGCCCCGGGCCCCGCCGCGCTCGCCCGGCCCGCACCGCCGCCGCCCGCCTCGTGCCGCCGGCCCCTCCGGGCGGACCCCCGGCCCCGGCGGCCGGCTCGCGTGCACTCCGCCCGGGCGCCAGGCCCGCCCGCCCGCCACACCTCCGACACTCACCGCCGCCGCCCTCGCCGCCGTCCTCGTCCATCTCGAAGGCGCTGCCGCGGCCGAGCGGCCCGGGCGCAGGGGCGGCCCGCGGGCTGGGGTCGCGGCCGGAGCGAGCGCGCCGACGGCCGGGCGGCTCCTCAGCGCGCGGCCCGGGTCGCGGCCGGGCCTCCTCCCCGCGGGGCGGGGCCTCGGCGCGCCGCGCCGTCACGTGACCGCGCCCCGCCCACCGGGGCTGGGGCGGGGCTGCGGCTCCCGGCCCCGCCCACGCGCTGCAAGGGGCCCCGCCCACGCGCTGCAAGGGGCTCGGCCGAGCTGGCTGGGGCGACCGAGCGCGCGCCCCGAAACCGGCGTCCTGGGGTGCCGGCTCCCCGATCCGGTCCTGGCACGCAGGGACGCCCTATGCTGCTACACCCGGTGGCCGGGAGGTCTAATTCGCACGTGCCTATTTTGATGGGTGGGGTGGGGTGGGGTGGGGGCAAGAGAGAAGAAAGATCCAGAAGTCAGACTTCCACCACCCTCCCACACCCCCGTTTCCAGCCTCCAAGACCACGTCTGAATCATTGCAAAATAAATAAATAAATAAATAAAATCCTTTGCGCTTTCTCGTGTGAGTGGACCCTCTGTGCTCTTCGCTGGCGGTGGCTTCATGTTAAAATGCACACCAAGTAAGACACCTGAGGTTGGCGCACCTGCGACCCAGCCCTCGGGAGGCTGGCAGGGCGGGTGGCCAGGGTGGCAGCGTCCGATGCCCTTGGAGGTTTTAGTGCCAGCCTCTCTTGGCTGACTGCCAGCTGTCCTGGATTTATCCTGCAGAGGGAGGTCGGAATTCAATTTCCCCGCTGGGCGCACCCGCCATCCTGCCCCAAATCTCCGCCGATTGCCCTGTCTGCCTCGCTGGCCTGCCCACCCGCCCGCCTCTCCGGCTTCCAGTAAGTCGCCTCCTGCAGCACCGCCTGCAGCCCACCCCACCCCCTAGCCCTTCCGCCTGGACTAAATTGCATTAAAGAAAAAGCAAACACGGTAATGGAGGAGATTGTTCATCTCTAATATGATTTTTCCAGCAACTGTTTTAAATTTGCAGATTGTTCATCGAGTCAGGGATATTTTCCCCCCAGGCTGTCATCTGTCTTAGGGTGAGCCAGTTTCCTTCAAGGTTGCTGGGTGGATCTGAGAAGGAAAAAAGTCTTGGGGCGTTGAGCCCACTTTCCAGGGTGCAGATGAGTGGTCAGACGTCCTGTGTGGGTTCCAGACCCGACACCCTCACACACACACACACACACACACACACACACACACACCCTCACACACACACACACACACACACACCCTCACACGCACGCACACAACCTCACACACACACCCTCACACACACACACCCTCACACACACACACCCTCACACACACACACCCTCACACACACCCTCACACACACACACCCTCACACACACACCCTCACGCACACACACCCTCACACACACACCACCACACACACCCACACACACACACACACACCCACACCTCACACACACACCCTCACACACACACACACACACACTCACACCACACACACACACCTCACACACACACCACACACACACACCCTCCACACACACACACACACACACACACACACCTCACACACACACACACCCTCACACACACACCCACACACACACACACCCTCACACACACACCCTCACACACACACACACCCTCCACACACACACACACCCTCACACACACACACACACCCTCACACACACACACCCTCACACACACACACCCTCACACACACACACACCCTCACACACACACACACACCCTCACACACACACACCCTCACACACACACACACACACACCCTCACACACACACACCCTCACACACACACACACCCTCACACACACACACCCTCACACACACACACACACACACCCTCACACACACGCACACACACCCTCACACACACCCTCACATGCACGCACACACCCGTGGCGCTCCTCCCGTGCCAGTCCACTTTGCTATCTTAGAGATGATAAGAGCATCAAACCACAGCATACTTTGAACTCCGATAGCAAGACAGGCGGACGCTGAAGTCACAGATAACAATCAATGTTAGGACGCCAATTCCTAATTCTTTAGATTTCTTCCGCAGTGGGATCTGCAGGTTGCTCTTCCAGGGTTTACATAGGAAATGTCACCTCTCTGACCCCCCATCTCAGTCCGTGTCTGTCAGCATAAAATGTGGCCCAGTTATCTGTCAGCAGAAGCTCCTCGTTAACAGTTTAGCCCTGCCCCTCGTTTTGAAAAGCCTGTTTAAAAAAAAGGTGTAACAAAAAACTTTAGGCTTGTCACTTTTTTTTCTTTAAGTGGTGGATATCAGAAAATTTCAAAACCTTCACAGCTCAAAGTGACCAATATCTAATGAAAAATCAGGATTTTCTTTAAAAAAAGAGTTTTTAAATATCATTCAAATCACACCAAGATAGTAGTTATAGAAACTGCTTGCCTGCACATATGGAAACATTGTTTCCTAGCTATTCAGGAAAATGGCCTTTTGCCTTAAGGTTCATTCAGATGCTGAAACTTTTAGAAGTGAAAGTGTTGGCCCAGCGAGGCAGCCTAGCGGCTAAAGTCCTCACCTTGCACGCCCGGGATCCCATATGGGCGCCGGTTCTAATCCCAGCTGCTCCACTTCCCATCCAGCTCCCTGCCTGTGGCCTGGGAGAGCAGTGGAGGACGGCCCAAAGCTTTGGGACCCTGCACCTGTGTGGGAGACCTGGAGGAGGTTCCTGGCTCCTGGCTCCGGATTGGCACAGCACTGGCCGTTGCGCTCACTTGGGGAGTGAATCATCGGACGGAAGATCTTCCTCTCTGTCTCTCCTCCTCTCTGTATTTCTGACTTTGTAATAAAAATAATATTAAAAAAAAGATTTATTTTTATTTATTTTACTTGGGAAGTCAGAGTTACAGATAAAGATCTTTCATCTACTGGTTTACTCCCGAAATGGCTACAGAGGCCAGAGACAAGGTGGTCAGAAGCCAGGAGACTCTTGCAGGTCTCCCGAGTGCATGAAGGGGCCCAAAGACCTGGGTCATCGGCCGCTGATTCCCCAGGCCATTGAGCAGGGATGGGAAGAGCAGCAGACGGGACGTGAACTGGCACCAGCAGGCAGAGGATTAGCCTGTTGGGCCATGACACTGTCCCTGAAGCACAGTGATTAAATTCTGGCACCATCCTGTCAGTCATGACCTACTCATGTGCCTCTTGCATTGTGGGTCCTGTCCCACGTGCTAGGACTACAATGAGGAAGGAACTTGAGGAAGGAACGTGGTGTGGCATAGCAAGTTCAGGTACCACCTGCAGTGCTGGCATCCCTTATAAATGCCCATTCTAGTCCTGGCCCTACCACTTGTTTTGCGTGTTTTTTTTTAAGATTTATTAAATTTTTTATTGGAAAGGCAAATATATAGAGAGAGGGAGAGACAGAAAGAGCTTCCATTCACTAGTTTACTCCCCAGTGGACGTAACAGCTGGAGCTAGGCCAATCCAGAGCCAGGAGCCAGAAGCCTCTTCCGGGTCTCCCACATGGTGCAGGGTCCCAAGGCTTTGGGCCGTGCTCCACTGTTTTCCCAGGCCACAAGCAGGGAGCTGGATTGGAAGCAGAACAGCCAGGACATCAACCAGTGTCCATATGGGATCCTGGTGGATACAAAATGAAGATTTAGCCACTAGGCTATCTTGCCAGGACCAAAATATTTATTTGTTTGTTTGTTTGTTTATTTATTTATTTGAATTAGGGGAAAAGATTGGTTCTCTGGCTCTTTGGGACTGCTAGTCTAGAAAAGATATCACCGTTAGCCAAATAATTACCCAAACAATATTCAAATTCTAATTGGGGCATCTTGTCCTACTGGCAGACTTTCCTGATTTAGGGTTACTCATCAGATCTCCACTACCCACCATAGGGCGAGGCCTTGTCCAAAGAGGAAGAATCTGGTAGCATTTGGTCTCCCTGCCGGCCACCCCAGGCTGTAAGAAGCTGGGGGTGACTTAAAACCCTCCGAGTGGCCTTCTGGCCGCTGCAGAAATAGCTGGAGACGTCAGGCATGTGACATTCAGGAAGGGTCAGAGGACTTCTTTGTACATTCATCAGCAGAGTCCGAGTGGGGGCTAGCGAGAAGCCTAGCGCAGCCCAAGGCCCCAGAAAGAGGCTCCCTCCGCACGCATGGGGCCCTGCTGCCGCCAGGCCCTGCCCAGAGCAGTGTCCGTCCACTGCCATCACGGTCAAGTAGCGCAGGCCCCCTGGTGACTGTCGGCAGATGGGGACTTCGGCTAATCCACTGCACCTGCTCCAAGGTCCGGTCCAGGCCGGGGAGGGAGCATGGCCAGGCCAGCTCAGTGCAGGTTCATGGAAAGGAGATTAATGCTTCCAGAAATCTAATTTCAGCTGGGAAGGGAGAAGGAAAAAAAAAAAAAAAAGAAAGCTCATTGGCACAGAGATGATCTTGGTTAGTTTAACAAGCTTTGCTCCAGCCCAGACCAACAACCAGGGGGTGGGGGCGGACGGGGGAGGTGGGAGTGTCAAGTCACAACCTCATGAAAGTCTCAAAGCTCGGATGCGCTGTCCTTCACCGCGCTCAGCCCGCTGTCCAGCATCCGCCCAGCCACCTGGGTCTTGCTCTGCACCCCCTTGGAACCCACACTGCAGGACCCTGTGCCCTGGCCTCCTCAAGTTACCAAGGACATCTTAATTCCTTTTAAATCCATCAGTCACATATGTCTTTTTTTTTTTTTAAAGAACAAAAACCGTCTGATTTCTCTTTTATGGTAAACTTGGGGCAGGGGAAATAGCTGGATCCACATTCCAAGCCATTGGACAAAGGGTCTGCTACTCACTTCAGGCCACAACAATATTACTTACTAGACTCAAGCTGTATTCTGTCACAATAATAATAAAAAAAGAGCTGTGTTATTTTTATCTAGTTCTTCATTTTTATAGTTTGTCCCTGACCTACTAAAAAAAATTAATGAATTTTTTAAAGTAAGTTGGTCAGGGTCTGCAGTGTGCACGACTTAGTAAGCGGAAGGAGACTCTGGGGGGGAACGGGGGGATTCTCAGATGGGCCATTAAAAAAGGAAAACGGGG